ATAGGAACACACTTGTACCGATCTGAGAAGTTTGGGATGGTAGCCTACTCTCGGGTCTGCCTATCACGATCGATGGCAGCACTACACCCTACGAATCGGAAAAACTATCTCAAAATCCTAACATAAGATAAATAATAAACTTTAATTAAAAATTTATAGAAAGGTACTAGTCACTCTAGCAGAACGTGCAACTTGTTGATCTTTCGGACGGGAAGTCTTGGATCTAGTCGACTTTCAGTCAGGTGAATCACGGGTACCTTCACGAAATTATAATCTCAGATTAATTCCATAATCAGATCCCAAATAAATAAATAGAAATGTTAAAAATACTAATTATTTTTTATTAACGTGCTCAATTTGGGGGTTTTTGGTCAAAATTTGGCAAAACGGACTATAAAATCAGACTTAGGACATCGAAAAACATAAAGAGGGAGGTTTTTGGAAAAATTCAACTCTGATCAACCGTCAACGCTGGTTAACGGTTAAATGGCATGGTCAGTAGTGCAACGTGGCGCGATGCGGCTCGGCTCGGCTAGACCAATTTGAGTTAGGCCAGTTCAGTTAGGTCGGATCATATTTGGGTTTGAGCTAACGGTGCACGGGTCGGATCGGACAAGACGTAGGTGGATCGAATCAGGCAAATAGGCCAACGGGTTAGCCAGTTGGGTTAGATCAAGTCAACAGGTCGGGTTGGCCCGCTTCTAGTGGCCCTTCCCCACGTGTAACGGCGGCACGTGGGGGGCCGTGCGGGCTTATCTACTACCGAAAAAATACAAAAAAATTGAAAACTTATTTAGAAGAGTTTTAAGACACTTACGAACCTCAGTTCACACTTGTGAATAGCGGAGAGCCCGATTACACATCACCGAAAACTTGTTATCATTCATCCCTCCTCACATTGGTGATGACGCAATCAAATAGATCATCATTGGACTCGGGACAACACAAGGACTTTAATGGTACGGGCGGTGTCAACAACGGAGCTTCGGTCAGAAGTAAAATGACGTTTAAGTATCATTGACTTGTATTTTCCAAAAATGGAAGGTTGAAGAGAAAGAAGATTGGTTTTCCAGAAATGGAAATTTGTTGATTTTGGTAGGGTTTCATACCCATCAAAAGAAAATGGTATAATTATGCCAAAAGTCCTTGGCTTTTGAAACTTTCTGATTTGAGTCTGAATTTAGTTAAAGTTTCATTTTAGTCTCCGAAAAGTTTTAATTTAGTCCTTAAAATAAAAGTAAGAAAAATTTAACTCCGGAATTTGGATGTGACAAAACTCGAAACTTGTAAGGAGAACAACATTCCCTTTAACCACTCGCTTTGAGTTCCAAATTCCTTTTTTCCACATTGCATATTTATCATATTAGCTTTGTCACCATGAACAAATATTTATCAAGTGTTTGGTATAATGTCCACAAAACAACTAAACTACATTTTAGTATTATTATACGAAAAGCCGTCTTTAATGATATTTGCACATGTAAAATAAGATTAGAAGATGTTATCAATACTCCGCAAGATACCCTTTTTTTTACCAGACAAGATACCTAATTTGTTACAATTGGATAGGACTTGTAAGTCGAGAATAAAGATAGACATCACTCGAAGTAAAATCTTGATCATATTCGTTTGTTCCTCATTTTATTTTATTAGCAACATCTCGTAGTTGATTTTCCACTCATTGATCTTTTTCAATTCACATTATTCTTTGAAGATACATGTGTAACACTCTATACCTGACCACAATAGATGATCCGAGTATTTTGAGTGCACATTAGATTTCAAAATGAATCAGATAAATACATATCTAGTAAACAGAAGGTAAGTAATTTTACACAATCACTCATGCTTATCTTAACAGCAAAACAATCATATCTCATGCTTAAAAAATGTACCATTGATACTTTGTAAATTAATCAAATAAACACAAATTAACTTATCTCAGTGGTTGAATGAATTGTTGTTCTTCTTAGAGATCACGGGTTCGAGCATTAGAGACTGCAGCAAGGTAATTCAACTTTCATTGTCAAACGAGGATGCTCATGGCACCAAAACCCTATGCTGAAATGGTTCCCTTAAGGTGATAAAAACACTATTTTTTCACTTTTCGGCCACTAATATGTGCAAAAGGGACTCATTATCGGGATTAAAGTCCGGGGACAATTTTTTTGGGATCCAACCACTGTCAAAGAACTAGTACAAGATCATTGCTTCAAAGCTTATAATTAAAAGGTAGCTTTGGAATTTGTGAACCTTCATCTTTCGTTCAAAAAACTTAATCCAGATCAGGCTGCTACGTTGGAGGGTATGTTTTGAGGAAGAAATTTGGAATTTCGTTCATTCATCGGATGGAAATCGTGCTCCTGATCCTGTCGATCTCAACATGAGTTTCTTCAAGAAATGATGGTCGATCCTGAAGGACGATGTGATCCTCTTATTTAAGGACTTCTATCATAATCAGAAATGGGATGATTGCATTAATCACTCCTTCATTACACTTATCGTGAAGAAGATTAATTCATTATCTCGGATGAATAACGACCCATAAGCCTATTCAGCTGCTTGTATAAAATACTAGCCAAAGTCCTCGAAAATATACTCCGATCATGTATTGATAGTGTGATGAGTAAATCTCAATTTGCCTTTATTCTAGGAAGACAAATTCTTGATTGCTCATTGATAGCTAATGAAGTGATAGACTAAGCTCATAAAAGTGGATTCAAATGTATCGCCTTCAAAATAGACTTCCAAAAAGCTTATGACTCAGTTGAATTAGAATTTTTTATTTGTGTCGTGAAAGCGATGGGTTTTGGAGATTGATGTTCTGAATGGATTTTATGTCGCATATCTATTGCATCTATTTTGATTCTTGTAAATGATTCTCCTACTGAACGATTTAAATTTCTAAAGGTATTAGAGAAGGATGTCTGTTATCCCCTCTTCTACTTAATATCATTAGTAAAGCTCTTATCTTGATGATCTCTAAAGCAGAGGACATTGATTTCTTTTCTGACATTCCAGTTGGGCATGGGAGTAACTCTGTAACTATTTCTCATCTACAATTCGCAGATGATCTCCTGATTTTTTATGGTGCTTCTGAATTGAAAGTAAGGAATCTTAAAAGAGTTTTTCCAGTTTTTGAATTCGCGTCTAGTCTCCAAATTAATAATATTAAGAGTATGATTTTTGGGATTAACGCTGACAAGGTCCTTTCAACATATTGGGCTTCTCATATAGGATGATTTGTGGGGTTTTTCCCTTAGACTACTTGGGCCTTCCTCTGGAAGCTAAACGCAATTCAATTTCACTTTGGGATCTTATAATTAGTAAAGTTTCTGTTGGAAATCTAATTGTTGCGTGTGTGAGTGTACTATAAATTGATACGCAAGTATACACTCGAACAAATAATAAAGTGATAAGTAAGTATCGTCTCCATAGGGATTGGAGGGAAATCAAGTAAAGTATGTACACTTAAACTATGAACAAATACGTATATGTAATGATATGAACAATTGATGTGAATGCTATGGAAAAATAAGAAGAGTATGAAACGATGTAGCAAAAAATAAAATAATGAAACACTGTAGCGAAATTGTGATGAGAAATGGATATGCAAGATAAGACAACGAAACAACTTCATATGTTTGGAACTCTCAAGAAAGATAAATGGTTGGGTTTATCTTGGAATCCTAAGTCTTGTCCTTAATGAATGCTTAACATCTTCCAATTAATACGATGCTCAACAGAGTATTCTAAGTTGTTTCTAGGCTATCTCTCGTAAAAAACCTGTAATACCCCAAGTATCGAATCAGTGATCTTAATGAAAGGATTTAAAATTTGGAGGATTAAATTGAATAATTGATAAAGTATAAGAAATGATTTAAAAATTATTGATTTAAGACCAATTAGTAAGAATGGAAGAATGAAAGGGTGTTTTGGTCTTTTAGAGGGAAATTAATTTAAAATTTATTTTTAATAAGGTATTTAAAGTAAAGGAAAAAGGGGAAAAAAGGATTAAACAATCTATGTTCTCTTCTTCTTCCCCTGTTGCTTAAGCTCTCCTCCATAGCTAAAGGTAAGGCTTTATTTAGCTAGTTTTTCCTTTCATTTTTTGTTTGTTCTTGAAACCTTAAGTGTGGTGAAAGCTTAAGGAAGGTTTAAAGAGGATTAAAACTAATAAATGGATGACTTAGTGGAGATTGAAGAAAATGTGTTTTGAGTGATTTGTTGAAATATGAGTCTTTATTGATGTTTACAAGCATGATTGACTTGTCAAAGAAGTAGATAAGAGATTAGAAGCCTTGGATGTGATTAAAAACATGTTAGAAAAAGTAGTATGATTTTTGGTTTGAGACGTTCTTTGGAGATTTTAGATGTTTTAAGGAGCTAAATGTAGGAAAGTTAGTTGGGATAAGTAAAGAAGAGCTTAATAGTATTGTTGGAGGTAAAAGTAAGGGAATTTGACGAAATTTGGGTAAAAATTGAGCTGATAAATGGAAAATCTGGGTAAGGGTATTGGTACTGGAAGAATATTACCGATATTATAGGTTTAAATTTGAAGAAATATGATGAACATTATCGATACTAATGCAATTAGTATCGATATCGATACTGATATGGGTATCGATACCATGGATTCCAGAACGCAAAATGGTATCGATACTGAAAGGGAGTATCAGTACCATAGTATAGAAGTATCGATACCATGGTAGCGGTACTGATACTATTGAGTCTAGAAAATTAAGATAGGACGAATTTTGATAGAAATTGAATATAATAGTACTTTTAAGTATTATTAAAAGTATAAATTTTAGAGAGTATACTAACATTGGTATGGTATGTTCACTTATTTGATGCTTGTGTATATCATAACCAAGCTTCGGAGTCAAGCAAGAAAAAGAGCAAAGATAAGGTTGTCGAATAGCTGGACATCCTTAAAGCATATTAACGAGGCTTACTAGGTGAGTGCATTTATTATGTACTTTAAGAGTTATAGTTGCATGTGGGTTGCACATGAGAAGCCACACGAGAAGCCACACGAGAAGCCTTACAAGTATAAGTCTCCACCACCTCCACCGGTGCATTATCATCATCCGCCTTACAAGTCTCCTCCTCCTCCTCCTCCCCCGGTTTATAAGTACAAGTCTCCCCCACCTCCACCAAAGCACCCATATAAATATAAATCTCCTCCACCACCCCCAACTCTAGTTTACAAGTACAAATCACCACCACTACCTCCAGTGCACTATCCTCCACCACCTTACAAATATAAGTCCCCACCACCACCACCACCCAAGCATCCTTATAAGTACAAGTCTCCACCACCGTCGCCATTACCACCCAAACATCCTTATAAGTACAAGTCTCCACCACCACCACCATCACCACCTAAACATCCTTATAAGTACAAGTCTCCACCCCCGCCACCTCCAGTTTACAAGTATAAGTCTCCACCATCCCCGGTGCACTATCCTCCACCCCCTTACAAGTACAAGTCTCCACCACCACCACCATCACCACCTAAACATCCTTATAAGTACGAGTCTCCACCCCCGCCACCTCCAGTATACAAGTCTCCACCACCTCCGGTGTACTATCCTCCACCCCTTTACAAGTACAAGTCCCCACCACCTCCACCACCATCACCACCCAAGCATCCTTACGAGTACAAGTCTCCACCACCGCCTGTACACTCCCCTCCACCACCATCACCCCATTATGTCTACTCTTCACCCCCTCCTCCTCACCACTACTAAGCTACGGCTTTGACACTACTCCAAAGGTAACATAAACTAAAACCTCTCTTTTTACCATTCGTCAAGGTGCATCATTTCACATTGTTTTGCATGTTTTGATTTTTAAACAGTTCAACAATAAAACCCATTGTTTTGTTTTGTAGGAGAAGAGTGATTCAAATAAAGAAACAAAAGATGGTTTGAGAGAGGCCATCAAGAAGAAAATTAGGAGTCGAGCCTAGTCTGCCCGTTTGAAGTGAATAATGTAGATATATTTATATTTGGCAATGTATTATTCAGTGGGTCCACTTGTTTTTATTTTTGTCTTTCTGCTTAATAATAAAAATGAATCCTTATATAATTGTTTATGTGTATCCGATTATCTTACCAGTTGAACTTCCATTCTTACGTTCTTTAATCTATATCAAAATAATTATCATCTTTAATGGGTTGATTCAGGCGGTAAATAACTTAATATCAATTAAATAATATTTTGATTTCAAATTTTTATATATACAAAACGAAGATTCACCCAAAAAAACCATATTTATAATAAAGATCAATCCAAATAAATCAAGATAACGCCCTAAAAAAATGCAAAAGCAACAAAAAAATAACTTCTTTATTTACGAACTATCGATATAATAAATTTATAAATCATGTTTACTATATCAAGGATCACATCAATAAAAAAACGGTAGTCGACAAAAAATCAAGAGCTACATGATGCAATTTATTATTTTTTAAAGTTCAATTAAATGTAAAAAAGTCTTCATTGATGTTTTCAAAAAAAAATTCTAAAACTTTTTTATTTCTTAATTTTTTTTCTCAAAAACAAATTCGTATGATCTTCACCTTTGAGTTTTATGGGATTTGAAAAGATTTAAAAAAATACAATTTAACTTAAACAAAATATTAATATACAAATGCATCAATTTATATTATGTAGTATGCTTATATCATAAGTATGGGTGAAAGTAGCAAGGTATATTATAATCTTAAGAAGAGAACTTTTGTTTAAATTTTGAAGACTATTATTAGATAAGGTAAGGGTAAAGATAACAATGGTCCCTTTCAAATGTGTACTACATTAGTAAAAAGTAATAAAATAATAATTTTTATTTTTACTTTAGAGTGACCTCTCAAACAAAATAATAAAACTGTTGGAAGCATTGGTGGTCACTTGATAATTTTTATAACTCAAACTATTATTGATATGAGCATAATACGATCCACGTATAACATTAACTTCGACTAGTTTACAAACACTACTCTCAAAACAAAAATTTGCTAAGCTTGTAACACCCTAATTTGGTCTGACTCGAAGATTGTATGGTTAATGCATTACACGGACCAACGACGTGGCTAACCAAAAAATTTCTTTCAAAATATTTGTAAAACATCCCTAAATCATTCCCATGGTATGAAATGAAAACAACATAAATAGAAGTTTATAAAATACATATGCTTCCAATACGTACAAAATACAAACTTTGAGCTTTAAATCAAAACAAAGTTATGACTTGAATTGCTACAAGGTCCATATAAATACATGCCCTTTAAAGACTCAAGACATAGGGGTGAGCAAAACTCGACTCAACTCGAAAAACCATTTTTTTACTCGATTCAACTCGAAAAAAAACTTGACCCAAATTGACTTCGAGTTGTAATTTCATAAACTCGACTCGACTCAAAAAAAATTCAAGTTCAAATCAAGTTGTAAAATACAACTCGAATAACTCAAAATTTTTAGTAATTAGTGGATTTATTTTCTAGTTTGACTCGAGTCCTTCTACTGTGTATGATATATGTATATCAAATATGAAAATAATATGAAGAAATATACTTTTATTGTATATATGGTTATAAAAGTTACTTAAATTAGAATAAATAATATTACAATATTATAAATATTTACAATTAAATTTAAACAAAAACTTGAAAAATCGACTCGACTCGAAAAAAATTTCAAGTCAACTCCGAGTTGTAAAATAGGACTCGTCAACTCATATAACTCAAGATATTTTTACTCCACTCCACTCGACTCGACTCGATCAAACGCTTGCCCCTATCAAGACATACTCTAAAAATCCTCTATTAACCTACGCACGGAAACAAATTCCGAACATATAGCTCACAAGCTCAGTGCCATGATAATAACTATGCAATACTATATGCATTCATTGCTTGAACATGTCGGTGTGTAAAGCCATGGGCACTGTAACACCCATCTCCCGTATACATTTCCATACACGAGATACAAATGTCACATCACTTCTAAAGCATTTCTTTATTTGAAAATCCGTAAAATATTATTTCTTTTTATAAAACATTTTAATATAGTGATAATAAAACATTCATTAAACTTAAGTAGGTAAACAAAAAGTAATGTTCAAAATTTCATTTTTTTACATCGTGGTAAATCAAATATTTTTAGAATGTTTTTACTAAGTCTATTACATGCCAACTAAATACATCAAAAAGTAGACATGGATGTCGTACAGATACTGATGAGACGACCTTTACTTTGTGATGTCAGATGATCTCCTTACTCTGCTCGTATTAAAACCTACACGTGAAGTTAGCACATGCTAAGAAATTTCTTAGTGAGGCATAAATAATCATAATCACAATTCTAAACATGAGTATATCATAATAATTCTAGTATCAATTAATTTTTCAATTCATTATAAACTTTATAGTCTACACTTGTCGTGCCAATACGGTAATTCACCAACTTACTATAAATTACATGGGTTGCACACCTAGTACCAATACGAAAATTCATAAACTTATTATGAATTTCTTAGGTTGCACACATAGTGCCAATACGGAAATTCATAAACTCATTATGAATTTCTTAGGTTGCACACATAGTGCCAATACAGAAATTAATAAACCCATTATGAATTTCTTAAGTTGCACACATAATGCCAATACGGAAATTCATAACCTCATTATGAATTTCTTAAGTTGCACACATAGTGCCAATACGGAAATTCATAACCTCATTATAAATTTCTTAAGTTGCACACATAGTGTCAATACGGAAATTCATAAACTCATTATGAATTTCTTAGGTTGCACACATAGTCCCAATATGGAAATTCATAAAGTAATTATGAGTTTATTAAGTTGCACACATAGTGCCAAGACGGAAATTCATAAACTCATTATGAATTTCTTAAGTTGCACACATAGTGACAATACAAAAATTCATAAACTCATTATGAATTTCTTAAGTTGCACACATAGTGCCAATACGGAAATTCATAAACTCATTATGAATTTCTTAAGTTGCACACATAGTGCCAATACGAAAATTCATAATCTTATTATGAATTTCTTAAGTTGCACACATAGTGCCAATATAGAAATTCATAAACTTATGAATTTCTTAAGTTGCACACATAGTGCCATTCGGTAATCACCATACATACATTAAGCAATATGCATATATAACTATCATAACATATAAGTACATCATAAATGCACACACTTTTCCTGCCTCGCTATTATCCAAAATGCAAATCTGACTACTCAACGACTTTGCCTTTACCTTTCGTTTTGCTTGACTCGGGAGCTTGATTTCGATCTACTCAAGCATCCATTAAAGACACATACAATATCAAATGTTAGTATATTCCCTAACATTTATACTTAAATAATACTCAAAAGTACTATTATTAACTTTTCTATAACAATCTCAGCCTATTTTAAAATTTTTGGCTCAATAGTATCGGTACCCCTACCATGGTATCGATGCTTCTATATTGTGGTACCGATACTCCCTTTCATTATCGTTACTATTTCTACATTCTGGATCGATGGTATCGATATTTGTCTCTTAGTACCGATAATTCTATATTATGGTATCGATACTCTATTATGGTATCAATACCATTTCTGTATTCTGGAATCAATGATATCGACACCTTCCTCATAGTATCGATACCCAACTCAGTATCGATACTAATTGCATCAGTATCGATATTGTTCAACTGATTTCATCCAATTTAAGCCTATAGTATCGGTACTGTTCTTCCAGTACCGATACCCTTACCCAGATTTTCCATTTTTAGCGCGATTTTTACCCAAATTTGGTCAATTTCCCTTATTTTACCTCCAACAACACTATCAAACTCTTATTTACTTATCCCAACTATCTTTCCTTCATTTAGCTACTTATAACATCTACAATCTCCAAAGAACATTTCAATCCAAGAATCATACCACTTTTTCTAACATGTTTTTAAACCCATTCAATGATTCTAATCTCTTATTTACTTCTTTGACAAGACAAATATGCTAATAATCATCAAGAAAAACTCATATCTTAACTTATCATTCAAAAACCCATTTTATTAAATCTCAAATATTTCATCCATCTTTTAGTTTTAATCTTATTTAAGGCTTCCCTAAGCCTGAATAACACTCAATGTTTCAAAAACCAACAAAAAACGAAAGGAAAAGTTAACTAAATGAAACCTTACCTTTGGCTATAGAGAAGAGCTTTTATACGCGAAGGAAGAAGAAGAAGAGATAGCTTTTGTGACTTAACTTTCCTCTTTTCCCCTATTAATAATCCTAATAAAAAATATATTTTAAATTCATTCCCCTTTAAAGGACCAAAAGGCCCTCTTAATTCATCTATTTTTACAAATTAGTCTAAATACTATTCCAAATCATTTTCTCATATTTTATCATTTATTCAAATAGATCCTCAAATTTTAAATCTTTTTAATAAAGTTTCTGACCTGATATTTGGGGTATTACAGGTATGAAAAAGTATAGCAAACAAACATGATATATGTCTAGTGATGTAGTTGGAGCAATTTTCTGCATCTCAGGGCAACACAATAGCCTACCTTGAAATGCTTGAGGGTCCGAGTTAAGAACCAAAATTTTACATGCATCAAAAGCTTACATCTCTAGAACACATTTAGGCTCTCGAGTATTAGGTACGGTCCATAATTTTATGTGCATCAGATACATACCCAGTCAACTATATCCATATATCACATCATGAAGGACGATCGTCATATTACTAGAGTAACTCGGGTGTCCTGACTGTTTCCCGAGCATCACACAATGGCTAGTCTTATATCATCATAACTTTCTTGGTTTCTAGTTTTAATTTTAATTACATTAGTTATTTTCACTTGTAGTCATGTACTTAAAGCTTCTACAATCCCAAAATCCCC